CCGTTGCAGCCCCTTTTTAAGAGATTTGGGTATGGAGGAAAATAGAGAGGGTTGTGTTTTCTGACACTTGGTGAGTTCCGGGGAAACATTCATGTATAAAAGTGCATTTTGCACGATAGGTCACCCTTAAATAAAAAAAAAACGTTGCATACTTAATTCCATGTCCTTACTTGCTTTGTTGCCAAACAAAAAAGGGAAACTGATCTTCTAGCTCTAAATCTCTCCATTTTCAAAAGTGGATTTACTATACCTAACTTATTATTCCAGTCATCATAGTATTTCAGAATAGAAGTGTAAGATGTAGGTGTCTCGGTGAACAGGCCTGTATGAAAATGTCCGCCTTACCTCTCCGTATCCACACACCACCACCTGTTTGCCTCCAAACATGACATCAGTGGTCCTCTTCAGGCTGAGGACAGAAACACCATTATTTCTCTGGCCGACTGATTCATATTCAGACAGTATGGAACAGAGTGGGTCTGCCCCGCCACATTGAATACTCTAAAACTATAAAACATTCTGTTTTAATATACGTCTCATACCCGTCGAGGATGGACTCCCTGCAGCAGTACAGGTTGTCAAACTTCTGCTTGGTCACCGAGTCGTTGACGTTCATGGCTGGAACACACAGCTTCCCCGCCTTGGACAGCTGGTACAACCTACACACACACACCCAAATAACAAATAACTGTAAATAACTCAAGCTATGCAATAATAATTGTTTTATGCTTAGTTTTGACAATCCGCTTCAACCACTAGTCATACATTTACCTTAAGGACAGACTAAATAATGACTAGACTAAAAATAAAACAAATATGCCTCTCAAAATTATTTCCCATTCAATTTTAGAAAGGCAAATGCCTGACAAATACAACCTGAAGCAGAATATTTATGCATTTGTTATTTTATGTCAACCCTTTTTGTATAAAAGGAGCTGCATAAATAAATAGTTATTAATGTTAACATTTTCACCACTAGATGGCGATGGTACACCAGAAACTGTGCGTGTCTAAGTGTCTATAAGCTGTCAGTTTTGTAAAAGCTATACTTGTACATTCTCCCAATTAAACTAAAGCGACCTGGTTTTATCTGGGTCGAGAAGTAATATATATTTTGAAAACTTTGCTTAAGATAATGAAGGATGTGTACATGTGTTGTGTCCCACCTGTGCACACCGGTAACACTCTCCTCTACAATGCCCTTTATCTTCTTGAACATGTTGGGGTATTTTTTATAGATCCAGTGAGTCAGGTCTCCACCGTCATCCAGGATCTGACAGAGAGAGAAACACAATTAACACATTAAAAAAATGTTTAACTGACCCTGCAAATAAGGTAAGTTAACACATTTTTAAATAGGTTGTCCTTCCTCAAACCTAGATGTAGTACTGTGGTAAAAATAAAAGCACCTCCAACAGAGACTGTAGGTTAACAAAACATTTTATTACAAGATATTCTTGTAAAATATGCGTAAAGTAGGCTTTATTTAGAGTGTAGGTGCTACCATGTTGGGTTGCCAGCCTTCCACGTTGACACAGCGGTCGATGCACCACCAGAAGTCGTCCTCTGACTCACCCTTCCATGCAAACACACTGAAACCTAGAATCGAGACAGGAAGTATGTTATATATATACAGAGAAGAGCAGAAAAGGATTTGGCCACACACATACACACACATACACACACCGATAAACTCCCAGTCTCACCTCCTTCTGCCAGAGCAGCTGCCACTTCGTTCTGGGTGGAGTAGATGTTGCAGGCGGCCCATCGACACTGAGCCCCCAGAGCTGAGAGGGTCTCCATCAGCACCTGAGGAGGAGGGGACTTTGTCATAACTGCTGCAGTAAAACCATCTTATG